TTTTTTATTAAAAGATAATGGAAGTGTTACAATAATTAAAGATTTTTTACATTTACAAAAACATATATTATTTACACCAACACAAACTACTTATTTTTCATCAGAGTGCATAGAGAAGCGTGGTGACAGTAGTAATTGCAATAGCAATTGTAAGTGTGAAAAAGAAAGAGAATGTCAATTACTAGAAGAAGATAATTTAGAAGAAATAAATTTTAAAATTCTAGAAGAAGATATTTTAGAAGAAGATAATTTATTTGGAATTATAGAATTAATTGATAATGAAAAGATTTATAATATGTTAATAACAGAACAAGAAATAGAAAATTTAATATCTAGATTAGAAAAGATAGAAATAATAGGAGAAAATGTTTTAAAATACTGGGAGAAAGATAAAATTTTATGTGAATTAAAAATTAAAAACCCAGAATATATAATTAAAACCAAAAATATTGAAGCTAGACAAAATATTATGTGAATTAAAAATTAAAAATCCAGAATATATAATTAAAACTAAGAATATAGAAGCTACAAATTTAGATTTAGAAGATTTTAAAATATATATAAAAGAACTCTTAGAATTATAAGTAATTAGAAAATCAGAAACTTCTCATAGATCAACAGCCTTTATAGTTAGAAAACATTCAGAAATTGTTAGGGGAAAAAGTAGAATGGTTATTAATTATAAAAGATTTAATGATAATACTATAGATGATGCTTATAACATACCAGATAAGACAGTTTTAATAAATAAAATACAAGACTGTAAAATTTTTAGTAAATTTGATTTAAAGTCAGGATTTTGGCAGGTAAAAATACATCCAAAAAGTATTAAATGGACAGCTTTTATTTATCCAGAAGGATATTTTGAATGGCTTCTAATGCCATTTGGAATTAAAAATGCATCTAGTATTTTTCAAAGAAAAATGGAAAATATTTTTAATAAACATAGTAAATTTGTAATAGTATACATAGATGATATTTTAGTATTCAGTAAAAATAAAAAAGAACATAGAGGACATTTACAAATAGTATTTTCAGAATTTATTAAACATAGTTTAATAATTAGTAAAAAGAAAATGATTTTATTTAAAGAATTTATAGACTTTTTAGGAGTTAACATAGGAGAAGGAAAAATTAAGTTACAACCTCGTATTGCTAAGAAAGCTTTAGAATTTCCAGATAAACTTGAAGATTTAAAGCAAATTCAAAAATTTTTAGGATTAGTAAATTATGATAGACCATTTATAAAAGATTTGGGAAAAACAGCAAGACCCTTATATGCAAAGACATCCCCTACAGGACAAAAATTTTTAATCAAGAAGACATAAAATTAGTATAACAAATAAAAGAAAAGATAAAAATTTTACCAGAATTAGCCATGCCATTAGATTTAGAATATTTAATTATAGAAACAGATGGAAGTATGATAGGATGGAGAGTTATATTAATATTCAAACCCAATAAATATACTGATAAAAGTACAGAAAGAATTTGCAAATACAATAGTGGAGATTATAAAGAAAAAAGAAATTTAAGCAGTATAGATGCAGAATTATTAGCTATAAATTATGCATTAGATAATTTTGAATTATTTATTATATCTAAGAAAGAAATAACTATAAGAACAGATTGTATAGCTATAGTTTTCTTTGTTAATAAAATGAAAATAGATTCAAAAAGAAGTAGTAGAAGAAGATGGTTAAATTTTATAGATAGAATTACAAATACAGGAATTAATATAGAATTTTTCTTTATACAGATGACAAGACCAAGACCTTTAAGACCAGGAATTCCACCAGGAAATTCATTTGCATCAAGTTCTTTACTACAGACTCCATTTAATCAAAACAGACCAATGTTACAAGATAGATCAAGGTTTGGAAACCAAGAACTTATAGTATTTCCAAATAGTAATATGTCTTTCAAAATTTTACCTCATATTTCTTTATCTAGAGAAGAAAAATGTATTTTAGATAATTTATAGATTTCATATAACAAGAATCCAAAAGATCAGAAATATTTTCTTGCATGCATGAATGCATTATCAGAACATTTTAGTCAGAACAAGCAAAGATTTAAATTTTATGTTGTTATTAAAGGAAAAAATCCAGGAATTTTTCATTCTTGGATAGAAGTTTTAGACTGTAAAAATTTTTTCAGATCCTCTTTACAAAAGCTTTACAAATTTCCAAGAAGCATTAGATGCAGCAAGACAGCATATAGAAATAAATTTTTATTTATCTCCTTCTTTAAAAAATTACTCTAATCCTCCATTAGATTTCTCTCCAAGTAAAGATCAAAATATTTTTTGCCAACACTGTGAGTGTATGCAAAGAAATTATAAAGTTATTAATGAAGCCAACCAGAACCTTTCATTAGAAAGAACCCAACTCCAAAAGAAAGTGGTCCAACTTGAAAAGAGATTTTGGATTTAAAAGTCCAATATCCAATAGCTACTATGGAGCCCAATAAGTCCATAGCTGGTTCAGCTCAAACGGTAGCTGGTAAAGACTTATCAAATACGTTGAAAGTTGTGGACTTACCAAAAGCCCAATAGACTCAGGGGACTGTTGATTCCTCTACTAAATTAGATAATCAGACTGATAAATCTGCTACAAAAAAGAGTAAAGATATTTGGGATCTTTTAGGACAGCCCAATGAAAAATTTTATTACTTAGTTAAATATATAGTCCACCAGAACATTTTTCACTAGAACATTTTTCAAATAACTCAGATCTTTTACAAGCCCAAGAAATTCAGATTAGTAAAGGAAAGGAAAAAATGGCTGCTCAAGATAGCCAAGATTGTTCATTTTTTCAAGAAGCACAAGACCCGAATCAAGATATTGTTTCTTTAGAAAAGATTTTCGAAAAAATTGAAGAATTTCAGAAACAATCCAAAAGGGAAGAAGGAACTTCTTCAAAAAGGAAGAAAAAGATTAAGAAGAAGAAAAATGATGAAGTTTTAAAAGAACAAATTAAAAAAGCAGTAAATCAAGCATTTGAGATAATCCTAAAAAAGAACCATGAAGAAGAAAAATAAATTGCAGAATGTCCAGATCAAAAGGAAAAAGATAAAGCTAATCATTCCAGACCTTTAGAAGAAGATGAAGATCCACAGAACGAAGAATACAATAATTCAGACAGTGGAATGTCATTTTTATCAGTGGCACGCCATAATCTTGATACATGATAAGATTCTCAATAATGCAAAACAAGACAATTGTTGATAGAAGAAAAGAAGAAAAAGTTGAAGACTTTTTATCACTAGATTGTAGACTTTTTGACTAAATTGCCATTATTAGAAAAGATGACGGAACTTTTTGAAAAAGAAAGATTCTCATTTAAATTTTTAGACACTTGTTAGATTGACCAGAAGCTTCTCGGTGAAGTGAGTGCTTTTCCCACTAAGGGTAGTTTAGACTTTTTGCTCCTAAAAATTTTTCTATTTAAAAAGATAGTTTCATTTGGTTTAGGCAGAAGTTTACAACCTGTGTACTCTCTGCTATCTAAAAAACGTTTGAAACCTCTCATCCAGAAAAATTCTCAATCCAAAAACTATTATATAGCTGAAGTCATTGTGAATATTTTAAGGTACTTTCGTTTTCTTAAGTTTATTTTAGAATTTTAGGGACTTCTCGAAAGGGAACTCCTTAGTTGTAAATCTTTTAAAGATGAATTTATAAATCCCTGATTTATGTTTTTCTTCTTAATTTTTATATTCATGTTTTACTTATTTTATTTGAAGTAAATATTTGTTATATTTCTCATTTCATCCTAAGCATATAATAAAAGTATAACTTGATTTCGAGAAGCCATATTGTTTTTAGGTTAATTCTGAGTGACCCAGATAAGTGAAAACTTTTGGCCGGAGTGAGCCTTTTGATGTTTTCCAGGGATGCTGGGAAAGGGATAGATTAATCTAAGAATTTTATAAGGGAGTGTCACGGGTAACCTTATAAAAAGAAATCAGGTTCAAGTTTATATGTCATAGGTGGTGAAAAAAAAAAGAAAAAAAAGGGATTTATATATGATTCTAAGAAAAAATTTATAGAAAATTAAGGAGAGTACTGAGTAGGATTAAAATTATTAAAACGTAAAAGTTATCAACAAGCAAACAAAACAGCAA